GCTCCTCAAGGAGTGGGCACAAGAAGTGTCGCATGTGAGGGCCTTCGGTGCCCAAAGCTTCGCCATCCAGAGTGCTGAACTGGCACGGTGGCGGGACGCGCCGCAAGTATATGGAGAAGAAACACGCCGCCACGGCGCAACCGTGCCAAACGAAACAGTTGAATTGTTGACGGAATTGTTGACCAAACGTTCCCTAGCAAGCTGACGCGATTTCTAAACTTAGAAAAATATCTACCCAACGCTTAGCATATCATCACTTGTCACTGTAATCGTGTAGCTTCGTCGATGTTGACAGATTACCAGACAACAGCTGAAACACGAGCCCTTAACACTGCCGTGCACGCAGGCCTCCCCCCATGTACTAAGGATCGGGCCAGCCAGACAATGATAAAGAATATTGCCAAAGATGGTTGCACGTGGACGAGCGGCGCGTATATAGCAGCAACAGAATCACTCTCGCAGAACTGAAAGATGGTCATCATGGCGACTGGAAGTGTGCCCGCCAACCCAACCATGGGCAATTCGCTCAATTGGTGATGGACAAATTGCAAATCTTGCGCCAGGCGCAAATCCTGCAAACATGATTGCCACGATGGTGTAGGCGGTTCCCGCGATTGCGAAGCGCATTACTCCACAAGGGCGGTCCTCTGACGAGATACGCAGTCTCGTCAACAATACGAACCAGCAGTTCGAAGTCTGGTCATTAGAAGACTGCATGCAATACTTCTGTGTGTGTCAACTGTGTTGGTGTGCATACGCCTCTTTATTTTTTGTTTTTCTCTCTCTCTCTCTCTTTCTCCAGATATGCATGCACACATAGTTGTGTACATGTCTATATCCCTCTCTCTCTCTCTTTCCTTACCAATTTCCGGATCTCTCCCTCTACATGTCGCTATACTTAGCTGTATGTGTATGTATGTATGAAAAAGTATGTTTATATACATCTATACATACAAATATATGTATGTATCAGCATGCCTCTCTCTTCCTCTCTTTCTCTCTCTCTCTCTCTCGCTCTCCCACAATCCTTCCCGAGCCATTGATTCGAGTGTAGTCTAGTGTGCGGGTATCCTGCACTGCACATGTACACCACGAGTCGCAACTACCTACGGCACGGGCGAAACCCCGCCACCCATCAAACATGCTATTGATTTGCAGGCCGAACCTCGGGCATATTCGAATTCACGACAGCTCCGAATTTCTGGGGAAGTCAAGGAAGGGTGGGATAGGGCAGGGTCGTGCAGGGCAAATGGGGCAGGTTGATGAACATAACCTTACTGCTGTGATGCACCCCTTGCGCGGGAACGACAAGGCGGTATGGGCAGGTTTCGCCCACTGCCTCACGCTGGGAACCTGCTGGCGGCAATGCGACATTGGGATGTACCAACAAACACCACCTGAAGAGTCGACCTTCCCGCAGAAGGAAAAGCTGCACAAACATAAGCTTTTGGCGCTGGACACCCCTCCCTGGCGCCGGGGGCGGCGCTGGAAGCGCCGCCAGGGGGGCCCCAGCGCAGACCCAAGAAAACTGCGCGAACCGCCAAACATTTTTGTGAATGCCGATTTTTGTTGCCCGATCTTCGGAAGCGTCAGCAGGCGGCGAGTATGGATATGCCTGGCCTCCACGGGGCCCCGTATTGCTTATCGGAGGTTGGGGGGTGAGATCGCAATGAAACGAAGACCCCCCGCCAGGAAATCGGTTTCGATTTCGCGTTCGCGTCGTGCGTGCGGGCGAGGCGCAGCTGCGCGTGATCATCGTGTAGCTAAGCCGAAGTATAATTTTGTAATTCATTTTTTTCGGCGCCTGCGGCGGGCTTTCTTATCCAATCCAGCTTATATTTTCCAATCCATCTTGTCCAATCCAATCCATCTTATCTTATCCAACCCAGTTTGTCCCATCTTATCTTATCCCACCCAATCCAATCCGCCCAACCCAATCCATCAATTCATACTGCGATCGCTCGCAGACGCGAGAGATCGCAGGATGGGCGTGATCGCGGCAGACTGCGAGGCTCGAGCGTTCGGCGCCCTTGCCTTTCGGAAGACGCCCCATGGCGTCCCTCCGTCCGCCTGCCATGGCGTCTCCCGCGGCGCGCATTCTCCGCGTCGACAGTGAGATTCACCTATGGGTCAGTCGACGGATAGGTAGATAGTGGGATCTCATCGTCATCGCGATCATCATTGTGGTGGAGGGAGACTCTGATAGAGAGGGAGAGAGAGAGAGAGAGGCCGGCAGAGAGAGAGAGAGAGACACAGAGATGAGATGAGATCAAGGTGACAGGCTGGAGGGCACTCAGGGTTGGCATTTGATCCCAATCCCCCCCCAAACCTCCTTATCGCCCACAGGGCGGTCGTATAGGAGTATATATATATATGGGAATATGATTATCTATATAGGTTCACATATATATATATATATGTATATATATATCCATTTTGATATATATATATATATATACACACGTACAAGTTACAGAGTCCACGTCCATGTCCACCGCCTGCCGAGGTCACAGAAGATCGATGCCCCAGGCGGCGACCTGGATGAGCACCGGCCTCGGCTCGGGCCCTCCGGCCCCCCGGGCTGCCCCGGGGCGTGCCGGAACGAGGCGCCCCTGCGCCCCCGTTGCGCGCCCCCCGGCGCGTCCACTGGAGCGGCGCTCCGCAGCCAACCCGTCTCGGCGGCGAGCCAGGGGGGAGCTTCTCTTCGGCAGTCGGCGCGCCAGCCGAGCGACGAGATGACTCCACGAGCTCTCGGGGGGCAAGCCGCCACAGCAGTGCTGCCCCGCAGCATGCACTGGAGGAGCGCCAGGCCAGTAACGAAGACGACAGAGGAGGAGGAGGAGGAGGAGGAGGAGGAGGAAGAGGAGGAGGAGGAAGAGGAGGAGGAGGAAGAGGAGGAGGAGGAGGAGGAGGAGGAGGAGGAAGAGGAAGAAGAGGAGGAGGAGGAGGAGACTGTTTTGTTGCGTCGCAGCGCGGCAGAGGCAGTCCCAAGCGCGCGTCCAAGCAACCCGGGCCACGGTATGGCGAACACCCCCTGGGACACGGACAACCGCTCGGAAGGCGCGAGGGCTTCTGAGAAGCCCCGCCGCCGGAGGCGGACGGGCGGTAGAGGGCGGGGTTGGCGGGCAGAGGGAGCAGGTGTTAGGTCGGGCATGTCCCCCTACAGGGGGAGCTTGGGCGAAAAATCCAAAATTGCCCATAAAAAGTACGCCGAGATGGCCAACAAATGCTCAAACGATCGTCCCCTGGCTATTTTTCCCCATATCCTAAGATGGGGTTCTTGTTATTACTTGGACGCCTCCTACTCCTTCTTCTCCCTCTTCTCCTTCTCCTCCTCCTCATCCCAAGACTTACTCACACTCAGATTTACTCATACCCAGACTTACTCAGACACAAAATTACTCATACTCAGACCTACTCATACTCAGACCTACTCCTACTCAGAGTTACTCATGCTTAGACTCACTCATGTCCAGACTAACTAATACTCAGACTTGTTCCCACACTTACTCATACTCAGACCTGCTCGTACTCAGACCTCATTCCCCATATCCTAAGATGGGGGCATTGTTATTTCTTGGGCGCCGCCGACTTCTCCTCCTTCTCCTTCTCCTCCCCTCGCCTCCTCATACCCAGACTTACTCATACACAGACTGACTCACACTCAGACTTACTCATACCCAGACTTACTCACACACAAAATTACTCATACTCAGACCTACTCATACTCAGACCTATTCCTACTCAGACTTACTCATGCTGAGACTCACGCACGCCCCGTTCGCGGCCGTTTTGTGGGGATGCCTCAAGCGGTTTGCCTGTTTTCTGTCCCCACATCCTTCGCTTTCGGAGCAGGTTTGGAGGATGTCTCGAGCGAGGCGCTCATTTTCACCCTCCTAAGGGGAGCCGCCAGGGGTTATCTCACAGTCCCGTTCGCGGCCCTTTTGTGGGGATGCCTCAAGCGGTTTGCCTGTTTTCTGTCCCCACATCCTTCGCTTTCGGAGCAGATTTGGAGGATGTCTCGAGCGAGGCGCTCATTGTCACCCCCCTAACGGGAGCCGGCAGGGGTTATCTCACGGTCCCGTTCGCGGCCGTTTTGTGGGGATGCCTCAAGCGTTTTGCCTGTTTTCTGTCTCAACATCCTTCGCTTTCGGAGCAGATTTGGAGGATGTCTCGAGCGAAGCACTTATTGTCACCCCCCTTGGGGAGCCGCCAGGGGTTATCTCACGGTCCCGTTCGTGGCCGTTTTGTGGGGATGTCTCAAGCGGTTTGCCTGTTTTCTGTCCCAACATCCTTCGCTTTCGGAGCAGGTTTGGAGGATGTCTCGAGCGAGGCGCTCATTTTCACCCCCCAGGTGGGCCAGATTTTGAGGATGTCTCGATCGGTGGCCAGACTCGTCGGCATAGATTCTCTTCAGGGTGCCACAGGAGGCTCCAACAGGCTCCAGGAGGCCCCAGGAGACCACATGAGGTCCCAGGGGGCATCAGGAGGCCACAGAAGGACTCAAGAGGCCACAGGATGTCCCAAGAGGCTCTAGGAGGCCCCAGGAAGCTCCGGGAGGCCTCAGGAAGCCACAGGAGGCCCCAGGAGGCCAGAGAAAGCGCCAGGAGGCCTCGGAAGGCAACAGTAGGCCCCGAGAGGCCCCAGGAGCAGGAGGCCTCAGAAGGCAACAAAAGTGGCTCCAATCCCATGTGTTTTACGTATGCTCCTATAGATTAGGCCTCACCTGGAGCACGAATCCTTGATGTTATACGTACGTTTCTATAGATTATCATTATCCTGTGTACTTATGTTCCTATAAGGCCTCTCCTGGGGCACGAGTCCTTGGTGTTTTACATGTGTTCCTATAGATTGCCCCATTCTCCTGTGGCTCCAATCCGCAATGTTTTATGTACGTCTGTTGCTATAGATTGGGCCTCTCCTGGGGCACGAATCCTCCCTAGGAGGTCCCAGGAGGCCCCAGGAGGCCCCAAGAGGCTCCTGGAGGCGCCAGGAAGCCCCAGTAGGTTTCAGGCGGCCCCAGGAGGCCCCAGGAGGACCCAGGCTCATGCGTAGAGACGCGCTCGTACTACTGAGGCTCCTTCATACTCCAATTCGTTCTCAGTTAGATTCATGACCAGACCGTTTATATTCGAAAGCTCTTGCGACTAGACATTCACAGCGGACAGGTCCATGCGAATATATGCACATATGGGGAGCTCCACGCAGTGAATAATTTTACTATTTCTGAATATTCCCCCTGTAGAGGGACAGGCCCGACTTCAAGCAGGTGAGATCGGGGAGCGGAAGCACGAGGCAGCAGGTGGAGGAGTGGAAGCACGATCGCCGCCGACCCTCCAGCTCCCACCCAGCTGCCCGCCGAATCCCCTTCGCCGATGGTCCCCGTCGTCGTCGTCGACGTCGCCGTGGTCGTCGGAGTCGGCGTCGGCGTCGTCGTCTTCGTCGTCTTCGTCGTCGTCATCGTCGTCATCGTCGTCGTCATCGTCGTCGTCATCGCCGTCGTCGTCATTCTCGCCTTTGGAGTCGTCGCCGCCGTCGGCGCCGTCGGCGTCGTCGGCGTCGTCGGCGCCATCGGCGTCGTCGGCGTCGTCGGCGCCGTCGGCGTCGTCGTCGTCGTGCGCGGTGCAGCCGAGGCGTGGGTCAGAAGAGCGCGAGGTCGGGAGCACCCTCCGGGGCGAGGGGCACCGCGGAGGCGCCCCCCCCCCGGGGGCCCCCTCGCCGAGGGCCCCGCGGAGGTGCCCTCCGAGGGCGGGGGGGGCACTCCGCGGGGCGCGGGGCCGTCGGGCCCTCGGCGGGGGGGGTCTGAGACGCGAGGAGCACAAGCGAAGGGGTCCAGGGACACGCAGAGAGAGAGAGAGAGAGAGAGAGATGCGCGCGCACACACAGACACAGACACAGACACAGACACAGACACAGACACAGACACAGACACAGACACAGACACAGACACAGACACAGACACAGACACAGACACAGACACAGACACAGACACAGACACAGACACAGACACAGACACAGACACAGACACAGACACAGACACAGACACAGACACAGACACAGACACAGACACAGACACAGACACACACAACACACACACACACACACACACACACACACACACACCACACACACACACACACACACACACACGCACACACACACACACACGCACACACACGCACACACGCACACACGCACACACGCACACACACACACACACGCACACACACACACACACCACACACACGCATATGCACACACACACACATAGACGCACACACACAAACCCCAGGCTTCCCCACACGTCTTCCGTACATCTGCGGGAAGGTCGTCCTCCCGCCCACCTCGCCAGAGGGTTCTCCCACGCCTCTCCCCGGGGGGATCGGCGGCGCCTCGTGCCCGCGTGCTCCGCTCCCCTCCCCGACCCCCCGGGGGGGGGCGCCCTGGAGCGGGCCCCCGGGCCCTCGGGCCCTCGGCGGGGGGCCCTCGGGCCAGAGGGCTGCCCGCGGCCCTCCGGGGGCGGAGGGCCCGGGCGCGAGGGGCATCCGGCCAGCCCGCAGAACTGAAGGGGCCCTGGGACACACAGACAAGTAGACACAAATCACAGGATTCCCCATAGCTTCCCATATCTTCGGGGTCTTCTCTCCCCCCCCCCACTTCCCATAGTTCCCATGTCTTCCTGGGAGTCGACGATTCCTTGTGTCTGTGTGCTTTCCCCCTCCTGATAAATAGAAGGACGCACGATGCGGACGCACTGTACGGATGTCAATCTGGCGTGAGAGGGAACTTGGCGCGCACACGGGGGTGGAGGGAGGGGGGAGGGCTTCTTAGAAGGAGGCTGGTTCTTGGAAGGCGCTGGCCTTACATCTACAGAGAAGGCCCGCGCCTTCTAAGGAGCAAGGGTGCTTCTAAGAAACCCTCCCCCCTCCCCCCACCCCCCTCTGCGCGTGGCTGAGGAACACCGCGGGGCAACCCGGGAACGCCACACGAGAAGGCAACGTCAGCGAGGCGAAGGACGCACGATGCGGACGCAAGGGCCTTGGAAGGCCATGTGTTGGCACTGTGCGAGCGGGGCGCGGCTGGCGACAGCGGCCGAGGAGGGGCGAAGGGGACGGATGCAAGGGTGCCCTCGGGATGCTGCTCGTCCTTACCATGCGGCTTCGCTGTCAGGGCACCACTCCGAAGCCGGGGCTGCCCTTACGGTCAGGAGCTTCTGCTTGGCTGCGGCGGCCCCAGCGGCACGCCATCCTCTGCAGGCGGATGGCGCCTCGCCGCGCTCCGCGGGGTGGACGGCTCGGAGAGAGGCTCGGGGCGCTGGCGCCTGGGGACCCCTGGAAGTGGGCAGCGTGTCGCGGCGAGGCGTGGTGGGCCAGGGCCGGCGCAGCGCCACGCTCTGCTCACAGCTCCCGCCTGCACCCCTCGGGCCAGCTGCACCGGCCCCGAGCGCCCCTTCCGCGCGCTCAGCCCGGCGGGCGCGGCGGGCGCGCCTCGCCCCCGGCGGGCCACGAGGGGCCGAGGGGGACCGCCGCCAGGCGTGCAGGTATCGAAGTGCCTGTGGACGATGGCGGCGGACTCGGCATTGGCTAGCAGCACCTCGGAGCGCGTGATGACCTGGAGGCACCGTCGGGGTGGCAAGGCGCGCTCCGTGCGCGGTGCCCGGCTGCTGCGCAGGCAGGCGGGGGGCTCAAGGAGAGTTCTGCTCGGGAGCCGCAGTTCGTGGATCGGTCGATCGTGGCGCAGCTGCGGGCCAGGTCTGCGGTCATCGCAGAGGGGAGGGGGCGCGCGAGGCGTGGCCTTCCGCCTGCAGCCCAGCAGCAACACGGTCATCCGAAGACATCCTACAGCACATCAGGTACACCGTAGCCAACTTCTTAGGGTCAGGTCGGGCATGGCCCCATACAGGCGGATTTTGGGCGAAAAATTGAGAATACAAAAAAAACAGACAAAGCATACAACAAACAATCGTACCCAGACTACTTGCTATTACTTTTGAGCATTCCTCCTGTAGAGGGACAGGCCCGACTTAATCTTGGGGCTGGTTTGGCAGCCCCCCTCGCCCAGGGTCCCAGCCCGTTGAGATCTCGCGGGGCGACCTGGCCCCCACCCAATGATCAAAGGAAGCCGAACTTCCTCGAGCAGGGCTGAGCTTCAAGCGTGGCACTCGAGCAACGAATCCGCCGTACCCGTGCACCTAAAAACCAGCCAGCGGGGGGTCAGGGGATCCCCTCAAGCTCCGGCGCGCCGAGGCAGATAGCGCGAGGCGCAGCAGGTACAACAAGCAAATGCCCGTGCCATACCACTCCTTCGCATCATCCTGCGCCGCCCACCCGATGCCCCTCCATTCGCCTCGTCCTCTTCTTCTCTTCTTCTTCTTCTTATTATTATTATTATTCTTATTATTAGTATTAGTATTATTATTATTATTATTTTTATTATTAGTAATATTATTAGTATTATTATTATTAGTAGTATTATTAGTATTATTAGTATTATTAGTATTATTAGTATTATTAGTATTATTATTATTATTAGTAGTATTATTAGTAATATTATTAGTATTATTATTCGTATTATTAGTAGTATTAGTATTATTAGTACTATTATTATTATTATTATTATTATTATTATTATTAGTAAACTTATTAATATTATTCGTATTATTATTATTCGTATTATTATTATTATTAATATTATTATTATTATTAGTAATATTATTAGTATTATTAGTATTATTAGTATTAGTATTATTATTATTAGTATTATTAGTATTATTATTATGCTTCTGCTTATTTTTCTTATTATTCATGATGTTATTCTTGCTCCTCCCGTCGCCCCCGCCCCCCCTACTCATTGCTTCCGCCCTCTCCCCCCCTCTTATTGCGCAGGCCGCTGGGGCCCCTCTGCCCCTCCGCCCCCCCCCCCCCAAAAGCGCCCTCCCGCTCCTCCACCCCTCGCCTCTGCTCCCGCTCCCCTATCCCGCCTGCTGCCCCTGCCGGGTGCTGCCAGAAGCGCTCCCCTGTGGCCCGAGGTGCCCCCCAGGATGGTCCACGAAGGCGCCCTAGGGCCCAGGCACGAGGCCCAGACAGCCCAGACGGCCGCAGGGGCAGCGGGCGGGATCACTGCGGCCCAGACGGCCCAGTCGGCCCAGTCGGCCCAGTCGGCCCAGTCGGCCGAGACGGCCCAGACGGCCCAGACGGCCCCAGACGGCCCAGACGGCCCAGACGGCCAGAGCACACCACCCCGAGACCCAGACGGCCCCAGGGGCTCCAAGCCTGAGCGAAAAAGCTGGGGGCACCTTGCGCCAGGGGGGGCGACCCCCGGCTCTGCCCGCCCAACCCCGCCCTCCGCCGCCCAGTGCCCTCGGTGGCCGCTCGGCCGGGGGCGCGCCTCCACCGCCAGGCAGCCCATGACGTACACCACGACGATGATGAGCGCGCACGCGGAGGTCACGCAGCGCGCGGCCTGGGGAGGAGAGCCCCCCCCGTATCCCCATGGGGAGGTGGGCACCTGAATCTGGCCCCATGGGGAGGGAGCCTGCCCACAGCATGCAGTCAAGACGTGTCTTGAGGACAGGTGGCAAGGACGCAGGACCCTTGGAGGCCGAAGTTGGGATTTGTTGGGGGCCGAAGAGGCAAGGACACAAGGGCACCCTAGATGAAGGCGCGCATCCTTACTAGGCGCGTTGACTGTATGGTGAAGAAAATCGTGCCAACTTCCCGAAGTTTCTTAAAGCGAACAGCGTCCAAAAACGGCCCAAGAAGCCTGCGAGATCGCCCCAGGGAGGCCCAAGAGGCCCCAAAGAGGGCCTCGAGCCGGGCCAAGAGGATGCCAAGACTGCCCCAAGACGGACCAACAGAAGCTCACGAGGCCCCCGAAGGCTCCCAGGAGAGCCCCACAAGGGCCATGGGAGGTTCCCAAGACGGCCCAAGTTCCCCAGGAGAGCACCACGGAGGCAACAGTCGCCCCCATCTCTAGGGAGAACGAGCACTGTTAGCATCTTCGCTGTTTTGTCGTAGCAGCGTCCAAGACGCCCCCAAAAGCCTGTGAGGTCGCCCCAGGGCGGCCTAAGAGGCCCCCAAGAGGGCTTCAAGCTGGGCCAAAAGGATCCCAAGACTGCCCCCAAAAACGGCTCCAAAGAAGCTCACCAGGCCCCCAAAGGCTCCCAAGAGAGACCCGCGAGGGCCATGGAAGGTCCCCAGTCGGGCCCCAGCTTTCCAGGAGAGCCCCACGGCAGCCCAAGACGGCCTCCAGACAGCCCAGGAGGCCCCAAAGACGCCCCAAGAGGCCCCAAAGACGCCCCAAGGGGCCTTCAGGAGAGCCCCCAATAGGCAGACGTCGCTCCATCCCCGAAGGAAAGCGCACGCGTTTAGCACCGCCCTGGGCGGGCGACGGGGCGACGACGGCGACAGCGACACCAAGAACCATAGCCCGGGCGACGGGCTCCCCGATGTGGCCGCGTGCCAGCGCGCACCACGAGACGGGCGCTCGGCCCCCGCCCGCACCTCTGAGGTGACGAGCGTGACCTTCTGGTCCTGGCAGGCTGTGGCCCCGTGCCCTCGGCAGCTCCCCCGGCACGCCAGGGGAAAGGGGAGCACCTCCTCCTCCTCCTCCTCCTCCTCCTCCTCCTCCTCCTCCTCCTCCTCCTCCTCCTCCTCATATGTATGGGCTCCCAGCGGGCAGGAGTCCAGACCGCATCTGAGGCAGCTGGCCGAAAGAGAGAGAGAGAGAGAGCACAGTGGAAACGTTGGGCGAAGCCTTTGGCGGGCTACAGCAGGTTGTGCTCTGAGGACGCGGCTGCGCCACGGCAACTCCCCAGGAAGAGAGAGAGGCGGGGCTTTGACACCTGCGGGGATCCGCAGACCCGAACGGGTTCAGCACATGGAAGAGATGCTTTTCTGCCTGCCGGTACTCTTTGCCGCGTGCAGAAGCAGAAGCGCCCCGCCGCGAGAAAGAAGAACGTCCCTCCGCCCAGGGGATGTGCACCTCCGCTGTCTGATGCGCGGGAGCGACAGAAGTTGCTGCTGGCATCAACGGCCAAGGGCCCCACGAGGTGGGGCAAGAGGTCGAGAGGTCGACTGTGCCCCCGACCCTCGTAGGATGGAGCCCCTTGCCGAGCGACCTCCGGTGCGCACGCCTCTGCGGCACGGCAGGCGCGCGAGGAGGGAAGACCGACACGGCCGGGAGCACTTCTGCACGGCGCCCCTCGCGGCAGCGGGCCCCGCGGGCACGCCGTCCTGTTCTCGCACGGCGGGCCGCTCCGCGGGGCGCGGGAGGCTCGGAGGAGCTCGAGAGAACGCTGCTGCTGGGGGGGGGGGGAGGGGGCCCAGAAAAACGGCTGCCGTCGGCCCGTCGCAGCAGGATGCGCGATGAGGATGCCAGGGCCTCGGGCGCCCATCTTTCTGAGTAATTTTGGGCTCGTCGAGCGGGGCGCGGCCACCGAGGATGGCCGAGGACGGGCCGAGGAGGCAGGGACGCAGGGGCACCCTTGGGAAGGCTGCCCAGCCTCACCGTGCGGGTCCACCGTGGCGTGTCGCGCCGCAGCGTACAGTGGGCCGGAGCTGGTCGGAGCGGCACGCGGTCCGGTCGCAGACACAAGGGAGGGGGGGGGGGGGCGAAGGAGGCACACGACGAGCAGCCAGGGGGGAGACGGAACGCCGCGCATGTCCGGGCGTCGCTTCGTGGGGGGCGGTCACTGGGGAGGGAGGTGCACCTCTCGAGCCCCTTTTCGGGCCCCAGGGGGCCCCCTAGAGCCCCTCTCGAGCACCAAAAGGTGTACAACTCTTCCCCCCCCACATATCGCCCCCCCATCAAGCAACACCCGAGCTTTTTCTCTCCCCACGTGCGCCAGTCTATGTGGGCGTCCGGCTGCGGCGCCAGCAGGCGGGCCGCCTCCCAGGCCGTCACTCCCCGCGGGGCAGCAGCGCACGGTTGACGTAGCTGACGGCGAACTGGTCCACGGACATGCTGGCGACGTGGACCTGCGGCTCGTCGCAGCTGGAGCCGGGGCACTCCGTCTCTGGGTGCCACTGCTCCCGATACACCTGGCCGCGCCCATTTTGCAGCCTCACCAACTTGCGGCGGTCACACACACACACACACACACACACACACACCAGTGCTGACGGGCATGTTGTGTGACCCCTCTCGGGGACCTTCGGGGGGGAGCTCTCGGGAGCCCAACGAGGCTGGTGCCCAACGGGGCTGTGTGACCCCGTGTTGGCCATGGCCGCCGCTCCAATACAGAGCCCTCGTGACGTGAGCAAAATGGACGGCGCCACCTCCAGGTTGGACCCGACGCAGGCGAAGTTCTTCAGCAAGCGCTCCATCACCCGCACCCTGCGCTCGAGCCTTTCCTGCCCGGCTGCACGCAGGAGCGACCGTAGGCAACAGTGACCTCTGGCGCGTGATTTTGAGGGTCCGCTGGGGGAGGCCAGATCCACGCCGTCAGAGCAAGCCAGCGAGTGCTGGTAGGCACATGTGGGCCTGCGCCAAAGGTCACTCCAGCGAGTGGCCACTCCTTCGCGCCGCCGACCTGCTCGGGCAGCTGCAGGAAGGCCTCCCGGTCCACGAACGGCGCGTAGCTGAAGTGCACCTCCATCTCGAGCGTCCTGACCCTGGCCATGCCCTCCTCGCTCTCCAGCAGCTGCTCCAGGGCGGACCACTCGCTGCCCTCCACGTCGATCTTGAGCCACGTGGACAGCGGCCCCCGCCCCTCGAGGTGGGACCCCAGCGTGGCCACCGTCCGCCCTTCAACGACCCCGGCGCGCGGTCCCAGGCACTCGCGGAACGCCCGGTACGGGGTCTCGTAGCAGTGGGGCCCGCTCGGATCGCAGGGCCCCGAGGCGTTCGGCGCTGTGCCGGCCATGGGGGGCGAGTCCCGCGGGGGGACGAAGCAGTCGTAGAGGCGCGTGGGCACGCGGAAGACGTTGCTCAGCTTCTCGCTCCAGAGGTCCCGCTGCTCGATGCCGTAGGAGAGCCCGAGGGGGTCCGGCACGTCCTTCGTTCCCATGGCCCGGAGGCACCAGACGGAGTCCCCGAACAGCTGGAAGCCCTGGCAGGCCTCCTCTGATGGGCCGATTTTCCACCACCACTACCATTGGTAGGAGGAGAGGGAGGAGGAGGAGGAGGAGGAGGAGGAGGAGGAGGAGGAGGAGGAGGAGGAGGAGGAGGAGGAGGAGGAGAGGAGGAGGAGGAGGAGGAGGCGGAGGAGGAGGAGGAGGAGGAGGAGGAGGAGGAGGAGGCTATGGTGGTGCTGGTGGTGCTGATGGTGGTGCTGGTGATGGTGCTGCTGGTGGTGGTGGTGGTGGTGGTGGTGGTGGTGGTGGTGGTGGTGGTGGTGGTGGTGGTGGTGGTGGTGGTGGTGGTGCTGGTGGTGGTGGTGGCGGTGGTGGTGGTGGTGGAAGATGCGCCCATCATCCTCGCTGACGTGGGGCGTCACCGCGGCAACGATGCGCTCCCCGAGCGCGAGGCGCCACGGCGTGCGCTCCCGGAAGGGGTAGGAGGCGGCTGGGGGCAGGCACGGCACGCCGGGGCGCGCGCTGAGGTCGTGCACCCGCGGGCTGCAGGGGCCCTCCGCGGACCCGCCGGCGGGCCACGCGTCAGGCAGGGCAGCCGTCGGCCCTGCTCGGAGGAGGAAAGGGTACCCCTACCTCTACCCTTCGCCCGTCTTCCCTTCCCGTTTTGGGGTCTCCTTGGGGGCCCTCGTCGCCACCGCTGGATTCGCCTCGAAATCCTGGTCAGAACGCACCCTGGGAGAGGCCCGGGGGGCAGCGGTATAGGTACATGTTGGTTTCCCCACCTGCGGGCGCGCCCGCCGCTGCAGCCCCACCCGCTGACGATCCTGCGTCCGGCAGCAGCAGGTCGCGGTTCACATAGCTGACCGCGAACTGGTCCACAGACATGCTGGGTATGTGGAGGGCGGGCTCACCACAGCCACCGTGGCCACAGTCCTTCTCGGGGTTCCAATCTTCCCTGTACACCTCGAGAGTGCTGCCAGTGCACGCGAACCGGTCCAATAGTCGCTCCATCACGGACACTCTCTTCTCCAGCATCTCCCGCTCGGGGAGCTGCTTCTCCCCGAACTGCAGGATGTAGCTGAAATGAACCTCGAACTCCAGCGTGCGGATCTTCGCCATGTCCTCCTCGCTGGCGAGCAACTGCTCGAAAACAGGCCACTCATAGCCTTCCACGTCCACCTTGACGTGGGTGGAGAGCCGGCTCCGCCCCTGCAGGTGCGACGACATCGTCTCGTACTCGCGCCCTCTGTGCTCGCCCGCCTCGTGGCAATGGTGGAATGCTTCCTGGCCAGGTCTGACAGGTGGGCCAGTGGACTGGTTGACCGCTGAACCTGTGAGTTGGTGCACCGATGCGCGTGGCGTGCTGACCGATGGACGGGCCGGGCTGCGGACCTGCGGCTGCGAGGTGGACCGCCTGAGGACAGCCCAAACCCTGGCACTAACCCTAACCAGCCGGATGCACTCCAGTGGTCAGAAATCAACACTCCAAGACCGATACTCACACTCAACCGAATCCAATCCGAACCCGAGCACCAACTCGACACCGGCCCTAAACGCAGGCCTAACCGGCGTCAAGACGCAAACCCAAACGGACAGCCTGACCGCAACCACACCCCTGCGCGAGATTCGCTGACCCCTTGAGGTTCCTCGGCGTGTGGGGAGGAGGGGGCGCCAGGTACGTTTCCACACGCCTGGCCCTGGGTGGCCACCTGCCCTGAAGCGGGGCGGGGCCGCGTGCGGCGGGCCGAGGGAGGGAGGGAGGGAGGGAGGGAGGGAGGGAGGGAGGAGGGAGGGGGAAGGGGGGGGTCCTCCTCCTCCTCCTCCTCCTCCTCCTCCCTCCTCCTCCTCCTCCTCCTCCTCCTCTCCTCCTCCTCCTCCTCCTCCTCCCCCTCCCTCCTCCTCCTCCTCCTCCTCCTCTCCTCCTCCTCCTCCTCCTCCTCCTCCCTCCTCCTCCTCTCCTCCTCCTCCTCCTCCTCCCCTCCTCCTCCTCCTCCTCCTCCTCCTCCTCCTCTTCCTCTTCCTCCTCCTGCTCCTCCTCCTGCTTCTCCTCCTCCTCCTCCTCCTCCTGCTCCTCCTCCTCCTCCTCCTCCTCATTCCCCGCCCACTCCTCCCCCCCTCTCTCCCTCCCACCCTTCGCTTCCCTCACTCCTCGTCTCCGTCCTGGCTTCCGAGCCCCATCCCCCAGCCCGTCCGCTTTTGCAGGAGGGAGGGGGGGGGGGGGGGCAAGCCGCCGGGCCCGAGGAGACTCACCTCGCCCAGGAGAGCTCCCAGCCGGGCGCTCGAGCAATAGACAAGCCACGTGACGGGGAAGAAGGGGCAGCACCCGTGCGAGCGGAAAATCTGACTCGGGTGAGCTGGCCCGAAGGCGCTTCACGGTGCATCGGCAGCTGAAGCCGAAGCCAAAGCTGAAGCGCACAGAAAATGGAGAGGGCCTACCCTGCGAATTCGGTTGACAACGCATCGTTGAGCGGTGCTGCACATCGGGACGGGCCGAGATGGCCGCAGGACTGCCCCAGATGGCCTCAAGATGCCCCAAGATGGTCTCCATGGGGCCCAAGGCTCTACCCAGACGGCCCGAGAAAGCCCCAAGGCTACCCCAACAGACGCGCCAATTGTACATGTGAGATGTCAACATCTAAAACCAGCGTTGACTCCAAATAGAAACACCTGCCCTACACCACTCTACTCTACTCGACTCCGCCCCACTCTACTCGACGCTGCTCTACTATACCCTACTCTAGTCGACTCTTCTCTGCTCTACACTACCCTACGCTACTCTGCGCTACCCTAATCAACACTGCTTTACTCTGCTCTACTCTACTCTACCCTACTCTACTATACTCTGCTCCTGTTCAACTCTACCTTACTCGACTCATACTCTTCTCTGCTCGAATGTACCATCCTCTACTTCACTCTACTCTACTCTGCTGCTCTGCTCTGCTTTGGCAGGCGAAACCATACGAATAACAGAAGAGGCCATGCGGATAGCTTGGGCGCAACCATGCGGGTAGCAGAATAAGCGATGCGGGGGATGTGACGATTACTGTTCTACCCTACTCCTATCTACTCTGTTCTACTCTAAGCCACCATACGTGCTCTACTCCAATGTAGGTATGATAGATTCCTACTCTACTGTGCTCGGCTCCAATATCCTTTTCCTCTACCCTCCTTGATTCTCTAGCAAACAAATCAATGCGGATAGCCTCTGCAGCTACTCTACCCTACTCTACTCTACTCCGCTGTTGCTCCTACTCCTACTCCTGCTCCTAATCCTACTCGGCTCGACTCTACTTCTACTGCTACTGCACATATACCCCACTCTACCCGACGCATTCTTACCCGACACTACTCAGCTCGACTCAGTTATACTATATTCTATACGAACCCTTACTCTACTCTACTCGCATCTACTCTACTAGAGCAGACCGACCGTTTCTACTCCTACTCTACACGGGTATACTCGAGTCTACTCAGATTTTAGTTCTACCCCAATGTGTCACTTCTCTACTCTTCTCTACTAGACTACCCTCTCCCTTCTACTCGACTCGACTCGACTCGACTCGACTCGACTCTACTCTACTCTACCCTACTCTATTCGAGCAGACGAAGCTATGCGGTAGCAAGGGACGCCATGCGGATAGTTCGGACGCCGCGGTGCGGATAGCAGATGAGGCCACGCGGATAGTTTGGTAAACCCTTCCCTACTGTACTTTATTTCTACTCCTACGCCGAATCTACTCTACGTACTCAACTCTGCACGAGGCACTCGGACCTCGCGCTGGCCGCGCCGCTGCGGCTCACAAACAACTGGGCATCGAGTCTCCAGCGCCGCGAGTGCGACCAGAAGTGCTATACCAGGGTCGAGCGCGAGGCTTGGAGGAACCACGAGCTCGCGGGGCTCGGCCGCAGCGGGGTTCCTTCGCCGCCCAGGGGAGCGTTGGCGCCATCGGCTACGGCAGCCACAAGGTGCACACCCTGGGAACACACATGCTTCGAGCAGCAGGCCGATCAGATCGAGGAGCTTCGGAAATCGCTCGCGGATCTCAAGTGCGAGGCCAAGGCAGCGAAGCAAGCAACCCCCATCTAGATCAAGGGGGAGGTCAATGGCGAACCAGCAGACACGCTCGGGAAGCTGGCCGCCAAGTACACTGAGAAGCTGGAGCCCGAGTAGCTGGGTGCTCTCCAGACGGGCAAAGTACAAACTCGAGCAGCAGAAGGGCAAAAGCACACCCACGAGCTCAACCATCTGGAGAAGCAGCAGCCCAAGGTCGCAGAGCAAATCGAATCAGATAAGCAGCATCCCAAAGAACTCGACAACGATAATGTCGAGGCAGAACCCAACATCAAGAAGGTTGACGGGTCAGCGCTCGGACGAGTGGGGCTCGATGAGGCTCAAAGCAGCGGTCGAAGCCATCGAGCCCCAGTCCAGCGCGCAGGACAACTCCAGGGTCGACGCGGTCCACCAGGCGTTCCTCGCGATCCTCCAGCACGCAGCCGACGATGCCCAGGTCGAGAGCGAAGCACTTATGGCAGGGGCTTCTGACGGATCTGGCAATGGCAGTCTCGGCCCTCGAACGGATGGGGCACCTGATCACGGCGCAGGCGCTGGCAGCGGGGCAGCGGCGCCATCGCCCAAGCTAGAGCCAGACTGGGGGGGCTCAGACATGTTGGGCAATCTCGCTGCAGAAGGACCGCTAGACGAAGGGCCAGAGGACAAGCAGAAGCTCCTTGCAGGGACTCTGGCAAAAGCGGCCCAGTGGCAGAAAGCTCAGCAACATCTGGTGTTACCAACGCCAACATAGAATACAAGTTCCGCTGCGCAATGGACCGGATCACGGAGAGGACCTTCGCGCCGGCGCTGGCGGCGCCAGGGGGGATCAGGGGGGAGTTCGCCGACGAGGTCCCCCCGCAGCCAGACTGGATCTTCGCGCAAGAAACCACGGTCAAGGAGTCAGGCCTCGAGAAGGCCAGGCGGCAATGGCACGACTATCTGGGCCGCGACATCGACCCGACGGCAGGAGAAGCCGCAGAGAAAGCAGCCGCAGCAGTCAGGAGTTGGGCTTGGCGCCACCAGGCCGCGGGCAACACTTGCCGCAATGCCGACTACATCCAGCCGCGCAAGGCGCTCAATCGGACCACCCATTTGCGGCGAGCGACGCTGCCGCCGTCCGCTTGCGCGACGGGGGGGGGTCGGCGACTGCAGCACCGGCATCCTTTGGGACCTTGCCACGGCGGGCGCGGCGCTGGCCGAGCATGACAGCCCCTGCGCCCGGCAGCCCGACGCGCTTTCGCAGCGCCTCAGAGGCCTGCAGGGGCTCGACCTTGACGGTCGCCAACTCCCAGAAATGCGCCGCCCCTGAGCTGGACATAGCTGTCGCCAGGAGGTTGCGGCCCTCGTCTTCCCCGGCTGAGCCAATCGCTGGGAGCGCTTCTGCCGGGATGTCGCCGCGCTCGGTCTCCGTTTGCCTGGCCCCGAGGCAGGGCCTCGCCGGTGACTGGCCATCCTCGAGCTTCGAGCCCGTCTTCTCGAAGGCCAGCCTGATCGCCTGATGGTCCGTGACGCTCAGCGGCTCGATCACTTGACGGGAGTCGCATTGGCTCTAAATTTTCTGCTGCCTCGATCCTCGCGCGCGCCACCTGCCACGCGCGCGACAGCGCTTCGACCTGCGCGCGACGCTCAATCCCGGCCGACGCGCCGACGTCGAGCTGTTATCCGGCGGAATCCCCGACGTCCTGGCTCGAGTTTATGAGCGCGGAGAACTTTCACAGGCTCGCCGCGCCGTAGAAGCGCATCTGCCCGCGCGCGCCAAGCGGCGCGCCCTCTTTTGCGAGGGGGGAGCTCCTGTCTGAGATCGGCGGCGCGAGCGCGCTTGCCCTCTTGCTGCGAGAGGACTCGCAGCGGCGCGCAGTCGAGCCGCCCCTCGATCGGGGGTCGCGCTGGATACCGGAGACCAAGCGGGCCTCCGACCTCGGTCTTGGCTGCGCGAGTTGGCTCGAGCAGGAAGTTCTGCGGCGGAACAGGGGGTGCGACCCCGCAAGGAAGGGGGCGCGCCGCGCGGCCCCGAAGCCCCACCCGACCTCACAGGGCCATCCCCAGCGCGAGGAGCCCCCCCCCCCGCCCATTTACCCCCCCCCCCCCCGGCCGCAGCGGAGCGGAGAGGGGGCCGCGGACGGCGCGGGCGCCTCCGCAGCGGGGAACGCGCCCACCTGTCCAGGGGCGTTCGGGCCAGTCCTGGAGGCGCGCCAGCGGCTTCTCCTCTGGGCGGCCCTCGAAACGAGCCTAACGCAGGCAACGGGCAATCGCCCGGTCTGGTCGCTCCCCCGACCGCGCGGCGGCCGGCGCGCCAGCGACGCGCCGGCGTGACTCCCGTCCCGAAGGATCGCGTGGAGCCCCGCCTTTGCTGGGGCCCTCTCCGCGGGCTGCCCCAGAGCCCCCTGGCCAGCGCGCGGGCGCGGCTCCCGCCGCGAAGAGTTGCGGCCCCCCCGCCAGAGCGCAGACGCGGCCCCCCCGCGAAGAGTTGCGCCCTCAGCGGCTGCTTCGGCCCCCCCGCCAGAGTGCAGACGCGGCCCCCACCCGAAGGGTCGCGCGGGGCCCCGCCGCCGCTGGCGCGCTGCCCGGCGCGCGGACAACCCTGTCGACCTCGTCGGATCTGCTTTCTACTGGTCAACCTCCTCGGACCCTTTGGAGCTATCGGAGCACGGCGAGCTCCCCGAGCCCGTCCCCCCTCGTTCTCGGAGGCTGCCGCCGCCGCCAGGCACGCGACGTGGCGCCCGCGCCTCTGGCAGATCATGTCACGCCTATTTGGGTCCAGGATCTCGCCGAAGTAGACCGATTCCAGCGGCGACCTGCCAAGGGCCCAGCCACGGCACCCAGCCTTTACGGGGCCATGCGCTTCGTCGCGTCCACGACGCGGTTCTTGCCAGCCCCCACGAGACCTGCGTCCTCGGGCGGGGGCATCTGCACCCCGTCCCCGAAACGGATCTTCTCCCAGCCGCCGCATATTCTAGTGAGCGCTGCCCCCAGCCCCTCCACGACGCCGCCCTCCGCGGGGGCGGCGATCTCCGCGGCGACCCCCGCGGGGTCGGCCTCTTCTTCTTACTAGCATTATTCTTCCTCTTCTTATCGTCATTATTATCATTCTTCTTATTATGGCAATTGTTCGTGTGTTTATTATTATTATTATTCCTCTTCTTCTTCGTCAGATTATCATTCTGTTATATTGCTCTCCTTGTTCTTCTCTTCGCCTCTGGCGGCGGCATCTGGCGTCGCCGCCGCGAGCGCGCAGGCGCCGGCGACGGACCCCCCGCCCCCTCGTCGCTCCCAGGCGCCGAGGGCGCGGGCGCCCATCCGGCGCAGCGTCGGAGGCCCTGGGGGGCCTGGCCGCTTCGTCTGTCGCCTCACGATCGGTGAAGTCCACCAAGTCCTGGACGGCCGCTGCCTCGCCTAGCTCCCGACGGCCCTGCCCGAGCGCAGCACCGCCGCGAACTGCCGCTGGAGCTTGGAGACGACGGCGCGGCACGCCCTCGCGCAGGTGCCCGCCCCCTCCGGCGGCCACCTGGCCAGGTAGTCGCGCGCGCCCATCGGGATGCCCATCAGCCGCTAAGGCGGATGAGAGCGTCGCTCGCTCCGAATGTCCCGCCTAGGAGCCCCTGACCTCTTCTGGGAGGAGGGGCTCCGCGATTTCGCCTGCCAAGGCCAGCGCCGGCATCTTCCGGGCACCACCCGGCCAGCCGCCGCCGCAACGGCATGCCCGGCGGGCTTGCGGACCACCTCCTGGCCAGCGACGTCGCACCGCGGCCAGAAGCAGCCCCTCTCGAAATCCGCGATCGTCCAGAAGTGAAAGCATGTCTCTATCAAAGGCGGGCCCCGCATATAGCACTCGTGGGACGCCAGCAACGGCGGCTCCGACATCTTGCGCCCTGCGCCGCTGGTCTCAGCACGCACCAGCGCGGCCGTCAGACCGCCGTCCACGAAGGCAAGGCGCCGAGGTGGGGGCCAGCAGCGGTCGCCGCAGCGCAGCACCGCCCAGATCTTGACGAGGCGACGTCACGACGCTCCGCGCAGATACTTCGCAAGGCCATCCTTACTGGCGAGTCGAGCCGTTCTCATCGTCGGGCCCATGCCAGCGCCGACGAACATCTCCGTGCTCGCGACGACCAGTTGGATCTCTGGCCGGGCGGGGAAGCCCGCCGCGCGCTCGATCCAAGCCAGGGCGCGGAACGCCTGATTTGGTATTGTCGGCCCACAATGCTCGGCAGCCCTTGCGTGCGCGTAGTCGATGATGTGCACCACCGTCTTCGGCCACGGGACGCTGGGCGCCCGCAGGAGCCATCGCCGCAGCGTCTCGCCCGCGCGCACGTACGACCTCACCGCGTTGAAGCGCGCGCGGCCCGCGATGCCATCCAGCGCCCGCTCTGGGTCCATGCAGGACCGCGCCGCCTCCAGCGAGGGCGCCTCCATCTCGCCGAACAGCCAGAGCAAGCGGGGCCTCCAGCGAGCCCACTCTCGGGACTCTAATTCGCCACGGCTCTCCTCAGCAGTGGCGCGGCACTTCCGAGCGTAGCGGATCCCTGCTGTCGCGCAATCCCCTGGCGGGGGGACGGCCTCACACCGCTCCTGGTCACACCCAGCTGAAAGGTGCATCACGGCGTCCTTCAGCATAGCTTGTTCGAGGCGGCCGCGGTGCGCACGTAGCCGCTTCTGCCACGGCTTCTCGCCCACCGCTTTGTCGACGAATTTTTGCAGCGGGATTCGTGCCTCCTGCATACTGAGGTCCGCGGCCGTTGCCACGTGCACGAGCGTCTCCTGGAACTCGGGCTCGTCCGCCTGCAGCGCCAGACGCGGGCCGATGACCCTGTACAGATGCAGTGCCTTGCTGACCCGCCGCCGCGAGGCGTCGAAGGCGCACGGCCCAAGGGCCAGCATCTGCTCCCTACCTTGTTCAAAATCGGCTGAGCGCCTGAGCCCAAATGGCCACAGACGTCGGGAAGAGAGGAGGATACACTTACGCGTTTATACTCGGGACCCATTTTCCAGGAATATCGGTTTCCCAGCCTCGGAAGTACAGGGTGCGGGATGTTGCGGAATGGGGGTGCTTCTTAGAAAACTTGGGGCAACTTTGCCTCTGACGCTAAGCCTGAATGGGCGCCCAAGTAACCCGCAATGCATTTGACTTGGCCTAACCCGGAGGACCATTGGACCAGCAGACGGGTGGATTGGTAGACCTGTGGACTGGTGGATCGGAAGGCGGCCTATAGCTTCTCATGGATATGTGGATCAGCGCTACGGTGGACATGTGAACTAACGAACCACTGGATTGCTAGAGCTGCGGAGGAATGGTCGGTGGACCAGTGTAACCGTGGACCTGTGCACCAACAAACGGGTGGACCTGCGCGAATATTCCACCATGGAGCCGCCTCGGGCCCAAGGCACACGCGGTACGGCTCGTAAGGCTGCTCGTAGCAGTGGCTGCCCTCGAGCTGGCAAGGGCCTGTAGCGTTGGGCGCCACACCAGCCATCGGGGGAGACCTCGCAGGGGGGATGAAGCAGTCGTACAGCTTGGTTCGGAGGTGGTAGATGTTGCTCATCCTCTCGCTCCACAAGTCGCGCTCCTCGATGCCGTATGACAGGGCCAACGCGCCAGCCTTTCCCATGGCCGCATTACACAGCGTGGAGTCCCCATAGAACGAGAAGCCGCCACACTGCGCCTCCGTGATCGTGGGCGTGACGGCTACTGCCACGCGCTCGCCGAGGTCGAGGCGCCATCGCGTCCAGCTCTTGTACGGGTAGGCCTGTGCGGGCGGGAGGCAGGGTACGCCGGGGCGGGAGCTCTTGCCGCCGAGGACCCTCTGGCACGGCTTCTCCACCCTGGACACGAACTGTTCGGCGCCCGGCGGGGACGTCGGAGGGACGTCAGGCGCGTGCCGCCGATGCCCGCTGGGCGCCCGCCAGCGCGCCACCAGCCGCCTGTTGACCAGGCTGACGGACAGCCCGTCCACCGCCATGCTGGGGAGGTGCACCGCGGGCTCTGGGCAGTCGGATCCGGGGCACCTCGCCTCGGGGCTCCACAGCTCCCTCTGGTACTCCAGCGTGGACCCGACGACACTGAAACGCTGCGCCAGCCTCTCCAGCACGGTCACCCGGTCCTCGAGGTCCTGCCTGCCGGCACTGGCGGCACTCAAGTGCACCGTCAGGTCGAGGGTCCGAACCTTCTCGAAGTCTTCCCCGCTGCCGAGCAGGCCCCGCAGCAAGTCCCACTCCGCGTCCTCGACGTTCATCTTCACGTGAGCGGAGAGCGGGGCCTGCTGGACGCCCGACTATGCGGGGTAACTCCCGTCTGGGGTAACTCAGTTTTGAACCCCCGACGCGCTAACCAGGAGCTACCCCTGACTACCCCCAGTCCCGATATTCGGGAGTGCTTGGCCGCCCGAGTTACCCGTGATGACTCCGGTCCGGGCCAACTCCGACCCCCGAGATCAGGAGCTGCCCCTGACCGCCCCGAGCCCTGGTGGCTCGAGTCTGTGGGCCTGGTCGCGGAGGTGCTGCAAGAAACGCTCGCGCTGGCCGCCTCCACCGCCCGCGGGGCAGGCCGCGGCGAAGAGGGTGTAGGGCTTCTCGTAGCAGATGCCCTTCTGGGACGCCGAAGAACAGACTAAGTACTGTGTGCTGATGCTGGAGGCGCGCGCCCGACGCAAGCACATCGCACACACAAATCCTATGTTCGGGGATGGACAGACCCCCCTTCAGCAAAACGTGGTTTAGCGAAAACGACCTCGGGCCCAAACCTGGCGGGCACAAGCCTGGAAGATTGCGGCCGCGGCGCCCTCTCGAGAACCGACAACGGACAGTTCACGGATCGACGTGTCAGGGTGGGGGTTCTGTCCACCCCCGCCATACAGCAGATCGTCTCCCGAGGGGCACGGCGAGGAAGCGCCCGCAGCGGAGCCGATGTACTGGCACCACAGCATGTCTGAGAGAGCGCGCGCGTCGCCCGGGTGGGGGCGACGCGCACGGAATATGCAGTGGAGGCCAGCCCACGAGACACCTCCCACAAGAGACCTCCCACAAGAAACCCAACCCAGGTAAGCATAATTCCCTACCTAGGCTCTGCCTAGAGGGTTCTTACTCTCTTTCTTAAAGGGGCCGGGCAATGCACACCGCCCCGGGCGGTTCCCCCAGTATCCGCCTCGCGGTTCCCCCAGCTACGTCCCCTTAGCTTAGCGTTGCTTATCTCATCTTAGCTTAGCCTATGTCATATTAGCTTAGCTTAGCTTCATCTTAGCTCCGGATTATCTTAGCTTAGCTTACCTTCATCTTAGCTTCGCTGAGCTTTAGCATTGCAGAGCACAGCATAGCATAGCACAGCATAGCGCAGCATATCATATCGTAACATAGCCCATCATAGCATATCTTTAGATATACACAAATATATGTACGGCGTGGCGTCGGCGGTTCTGGCGCTACTACTACTACTACTACTACTAATAATAATACGAATAAAAATAATACTATTACTACTACTTCTACGACTACTACTACTACTACTACTACTACTACTACTACTACTACTACTACTACTACTACTACTACTACTACTACTAATCCTACTACTACTCCTACTATTACAACTACTTCTACGACTACTACTACTACTACTACTACTACTACTACTACTACTACTACTACTACTACTACTACTACTACTACTACTACTACTACTACGACTACTACTACTACTACTACTACTACTACTACTACTACTACTACTACTACTACTACTACTACTACTACTACTACTACTACGACTTACTACTACGACTACGACTAACGACTACTACTACTACTACTACTACTACTACTACTACTACTACTACTACTACTACTACTACTACTACTACTACTACTACTACTACTACTACTACTACTACTACTACTACTACTACTACTACTACTACTACTACTACTACTACTACTACTACTACTACTACTATAACTACTACTACTACTACTACTACTACTACTACTACTACTACTACTACTACTACTACTACTACTACTACTACTACTACTACTACTACTACTACTACTACTACTACTACTACTACTACTACTACTACTACTACTACTACTACTACTACTACTACTACTACTACTACTACTACTACTACTACTACTACTACTACTACTACTACTACTACTACTACTACTACTACTACCGGTACTGCTACAACCACGAAGATGAGGAGAAGGAGGAGGACGGCGTTTCCCGGTCCTACTAATTTTGTTTTCCTAGAGGCTCCAACTCCTAGGTAGGGTCGCACTGGGATAATCATAATACTATAACATTAAGACGAAGTGTACACACATAGACATAATCGCAGCATCAGAGTAAACAATCCTAGTAGTAAGTACAAGGAGACGAGTGATACATTGGTGTGGGAGCGTCGCGCCTTCCGCGGCAAGGCCCTCGAAACCCAGGAGGCCCAGGGCACCCTGGAGACCAGCAGGGTGCTTCTTGGCACGGGTCTCCGCTGCACGTTTGGGTGGTGCCGACCTTCTGCCCCCGGCAGGACAGCGCGCCATTGCGCGTCACGCCGTCCAGCAGCGCGGGCCCCCCCTCTGCCAGGCAGCCAAACAGCCTGCTCGGCACGCCGAAGAGGTTGCTCAGCTGCTCGCTCCACGGGTCGCGCCGGCCCACGCCGTAGGAGAGCCCCACTGCGCCTGGGACGGGGCCCATGGCCCTCATGCACCAGGTGGACTGGGAGTGGAGGGCGAACCCGTCGCACTCGTCCTCTGTGAGGCTGGGAGCCGCCGCCAGCGCCACGCGCTCCCCGAGCTCCAGCCGCCAGCGAACGAGCTCCCCGAAGGGATCGTCGGGGACGCACTGACCCAGGTCAGCGCAGACCGGGGTCGGGCAGGGCCCTGGCGCGCAGCCAGGTTGGCCGCCTATAGCAGCTCCCAAGCCCGGGGTCAGCGGAAGGCAGACCAGGGGAACCGGCCCGACGTGGCTCCCAAACCCAGGTCACTCAGAGAGGATTGGCTCTGGACGCCCGGAATGGGCACGGGGAAGAAGGGTACAATGCCCAACAGCAAATGCTGGCCATGACCGACAGCGGCCGCTGTCCGGCAGGCTGCTTGTCTTCAATGAACAACGTCCGCGGCGGGGCGGACAGCGAGTCCGGTCCGAAGTGAACAGGAGCTGCTGTGGGGCATCGTACCCCTTATTTCCCTGCCCACTTCGACCGCCCCGATCTGGCCGACGCCCGCGGCGTGAGCCCCGACATAGAACGCCGCCGGCGGGAGGCACGGCCTGCCCGGGCGCGAGCTGCGCGAGGCGTAGGCGCGCTGGCAGCCCGCCTGCTCGGCGGGGCTCGGCGGCGGCGCGCGGCGCGGCCGCGGCTGGCGCCCCGCGCCGCCCGCGGCGGCGGCGGCCTGCGGCGCAGCGCGGCCGCCGGCCTCCAGGGCGACGGGGCCGCCTGGCTCGCGCGCGGCAACACCAGGAGGGTCGAGGATACTCATGCAGGGATCGAAAATCGAGGGTACGCATCCATGGATCGAGCACCGGGGATCGAGGATCGAGGATACTCACGCACCAGAAAGGGTCGAGGATCGAGGCTGCTCATCCAGGGGTGCATCATGAGGAGCCAGGACGATCGAGGATCGAGGATAGTCATCCAGGGATGCACCACGAGGGGCCAGGAGGATCGAGGATCGAGCATCGCGGATCGGGGGCCGATACCCAGGATGCACCAGAAAGGATCGAGGATCGAGGATACTCATCCAGGGATGCACCATGAGGAGCCAGGACGGTCGAGGATCGCGGATCGAAGATCGGGAGCCGATGCGCAGGATGCACCAGAAAGGCGGGCACACACACACACACACGGCTGGATTCGTACGTGGAGCATGTGGAGGCCACTTGCTGGACACACGGAGGATCCCCGTGCCTGGTGCCTGGCCATACAGTGGGGGCCCGACCACAAGAAACCCAACCCTGAGACCCCAGGGCGTCCATCGACTTTTGGTGCGGGAACGGCGCGCTCTCCATGGCAAAACCCTCGAAACCCAAGAAACCCAGGGCATCCTGGAGGCAAGCAGGGTGTTTCTTGGCATGGGCCTCCACTACACTCATGCAAGGATCGGGGGCCGATGCCCACGATGCACCAGAAAGGCGGGCACACCACGACCTACAGCTTTCCGCTATTTTCGGCCCCTGGGGGCCCCTACCGGGCCTCGGGACCGTCAAAAACGACTCGGGATGAAAAAACGGTCACGGGGAAAGGGTCCAGACCTCGGGGGGGTCGACGTTGGTACCCGTCGGTCGTTGAAGTAGGTGTTCGTTACCTGGCGGTACCCATGGCTGGACTCGCACGTGGAACACGTGGAGGCCACTTGCTGGACACACGGAGGATCTCCCCGTGCCTCGTGCCTGGCCGTGCGAGTGCCGATCGCTGGAACGGCATGTGGCCACATCTGTACCCTGTGCTCGCCCAGGCCGGCCGCGTCATGCGCATCCCGCTTCCAGGAATTCGTTGGATGGATCTCTCGAGCTCTCCGCCGCCTCCAACGGTGTGCCTTCAGAACGAGAGCGCAGCATACCCATAGGAGAGCGCTGCATTGACACCCGTGCGGAGCTGCACCGTCAATGCCACGCTTGCATGTGGCTTCGCTGTTCCAGCTCTTGACGCACACCGCTTGAGGCGGCAGCGAGCTTGAGAGGTCCGTCCAGCAAAACGCGAGGCAGTGAGGAGGATCGAGGATGTTCATGCAGGGATCGGGGACCGACGTCCATGATCTGTGCAGTCCTCGTGCTGCCAGAGGGAGAGCCGAGGAGGGAACGGAGGGGCCTGCCTGGCCACGGCGAACCTCGGCTTCGAACATGTTCCCCGGCCGAGATCCAAGGAGCGGCCCGAAACCCAAAGCCCCTCCCGAGCCCGAAGTCAGCCACGGCTGCCATCGCCCTGAGGGGCGGCGCCGTCACAGCGCGGGCAGGCGCGCGAGGCACGCTGGCCCTCGAAACGAGGTGACCTGCCGTGCACGGCGTGGGAAATCAGCAGCGAGTCCGAAAAGTCCCTGGGCCCGCAGTGGCCCTTAAACGGGGTAGGTCTTTAGAACACCCCCCAACAGTTGGAAAATAACCACTCGTCGGCGACCCTATTGACGGACTGGGGCCCCACCAACACTTGAAAACAATCCATCCTCCGCGGCACCCGCCGCACAAAAACGACGACGACGACGACGACGACGACGACGACTACGATTACGATTACGACTACGACTAATACTGGGATTACGACTATGGTTACGACTACAACCACGACTACAATCACGATTACAACCACAACCACTGATTCCGATTGCAATCTCATGAGAAGATGTTCACGAACCTCTCGCGTGTAGGGTAGCCCACGAAGGATTATCCCCTGGGAGAAAGAACCCCCCAACATGACCCAGCCCGCCCAGCATTAGAGGGACAATCTTCTCCGCCGCGACGGCGACGACGACGACGACGACGAAGACGACGACGACGACGACGACGACGACGACGACGACGACGACGACGACGACGACGACGACGACGACGACTACTGTAACGACCACGAGAAGGAGCAGGAGGAGGACGAGGAGGAGCAAGAGGAGGAGAGGGTGGAGGAGGAGGAAGAAGAAGAGGAGGAAGAGGAGGAGGAGGAGGAGGAGGAGGAGGGGCGAGTTTATGCCCCGCCAACAGGAACAGGGGGAAGCTAAAACTAAAGATCTCTTGAGGTTATCCCAGCGTCTTGACTGTAGAGATCGAGGACGGAGGACCGAGGACCGATGTCGGCTGCACGTAAGGGTGACCCTGGGGAAGAGCGACCTTTGGTGCGCGACTTTCGGGGGCCGCAGGGAGGCCGAACTGGAGCGCGCACGCCGCTGCCATCGCATCTCAATCAAACATCTGGGGACCCCACTGTGCCCGCACCAAAGGTCACTCCAGCGAAAGGTCACTCTTACGTATAGCCGATCTGGGCCTGGCTCCCATGCTGGGCAGTGCCAGGTCGGGTCACCGCTTGAGGCGACCGCAACCTCCTCCAGGGGACGTGCGTACCCCCCTGGACCCTCCCCAAGACCGTCCAAGACTCCTAAAGAGATGCCCCCCAAAGACGACCAAAAACCTCCCCAGTGCTCGACATCTCCCCCCCTCCTCCCCCCCTCCTTGGGTGCGAATAAATGGAGGGCGGTACATGGCGGGGGGGAAAGGTGCCCTGCTCGGGCCCGGAAGGCCCCCTTCTGGGCCCGAGAGGGCCCTACTTAGAGGGGCCCGAAAGGGCCCCTTTTCGGCAACCCTCGCTGCCCCCCCCCACCATGTATGGGCCCCCCCCCCCATAATGCGCGTCCTCCCTCCTCCTTGCGGCCCTCGTGCTCTGGGAAGCAGTGGTGCAACCCCCGCTGCTGGTGGCCCCCCCCCCCCCCGGTGCTGCCCGGCGCTGGGAGGCCTCGCCCGCGTCTCGGCGCACCTGGGGAGGCCGGCTCACCGCCCTGGGCCCCGACGAGGACGCCGGTGAAGAACACGAGGACGGCGCTGGCGGCGGCCACCAGGAGCAGCGTGGCCCGCCGCATCGGGCCGCCAGGCGGCGGGCCATGCGGTCGCCCAGGGCAGCCCGCGCAGTGGCAGCGGCCGCGCCCGCAGCCGAGCGGCGTCTCCGTGCGGGGCGCGCCCTCCGAGCCAGCGGGGCCACGGAGCACGAGGGCGGGGAGGATGGTGAGGGCAGGGGCGAGGATGAGGACCAGGGCGAGGCAAGGGGACGCCGGCGAGGACGAGGACGAGGACGAGGACGAGGACGAGGACGAGGACATGACACCCGGACCCAATCGGCCATCTTGGAATCCACGCGTGAAGATGGGGATGGTGTTCATCGTGAATCTTGAAGGTTGGGGTGGGGACGGGGGTCGAGATGGATGGGGTACGACATGGGGCGCAGCTGGGAAAAGAAATGGGTACGGGGAGAGGGCTGGGGAGGGAGAGGTGTATGGGGGATGAGTCGGGGCTGACGAACGGGCGATAATCAGCAAATGGGGGCTCAGCGAACTAGCTTACGTAGCTGGCTTAATTGACGCATTCCGACGCTGGAAGCGCCAATATATCGAGGAAAACGCCTCACGGCGGGTCTGCAACCAGCTGCACGCGGCAGATGTCCGACCCCATTTCTTGATCCCCCCGGCGTCACACCCGACTATGTCTGTCCCCGTGTCAGTACCTGTGCTCCCTCCACCATCGTCTTCTGAAAGAAGAAGCTACTACACATAAGGCGGGCGACGCCTCAGAAACCCAGGTGGGCTCACAAAAATCTAGATCGCGAAAAGACGCGCAACGGAAAACAGACGCGCACTCTTGCCGACGCTAGGTCTCTCTCTCCTTCTGTCTCTGTGTCTCTCTCTCTCTCTCTCTCTCTTTTTTTTCTCTCTCTCTCTCTCTCTCTGTTATTATCAATATTTGTATGTTTGGTCTCTCTCTCTCTGTCCCTCTGTCTCTCAGGAGCACGCGCCAGCCCTGACAGTCGTCAGGCCGCGAGCGACCAGTGGCCGGAGCGTGCAGCGGAACGCCAGATGCACCACGTCGGCGGGCGAAGGTCGGCTCCCCCGCCTCCGAGCGGTGCGGGAAGCGGGCTGCGCATTCCTCTCCTGGCGCGCAGCACGGCATGCGCAGCTCCCTCTCTCGAGCGAAGTTGATGGGCCTGTTTTCCACCACCACCACCACCACCATATGTT